TTAATAATAGCAAATTGAAACTACTAATACTAAATACAAAAGAAAAAATAGAAAATAGATCTGTAAAGTTTAATAGTATAGAAGTGAAGTTAGAACATTCTCAATTTCTTGTTAGAATGTTAGATATATAGATATGTGGAAAGATGAAAATATAGATATTAAAAAGAAAGCAAGAGATATAATATAACAGTTTATCATTGTATTAAATTTAAAAAAAGTATCTATAAACCAACTAGCATATCTAAACAATATATGCTTGATTCATAAACTAAGCTATATATTGCAATTAACAAAAATTTCAACAAAAACTTCCAATAGTATACATCAACTATATATCTGTTTGTTTAAAAATAAACTAGAAATAGCAAGATCAGCAGAAAACTTTATTGTCATTCATAGAGGCTTAGGTGGTTGTAAAGCATTAGCATATACAATTATATCAAAACAAATAAACTGTCTATATTATAAACTAATAGTAAAGGTACTATCAAAAGTCTAACAAGAGTATAAATTAAGCAAAGTTTTCAAGATGCTTGTATAACTACATTAGCAAAATATATAAATATAAACTTATATAAATTATTACAATTTAAAATATTATGCAATACTGTAATTTTTAATTTTATTTAAAAAATTATAAATACTTTTTAAAATTCCAGACAAATTTGCCTGGAATACGGTTTAAGGGATACTATATACTAAAAATTTTTAAATGTAATAATAATGCTTGTATAATAATAATCAGCTCCAACAATTACTTGTACTAAAATCTAAACAAACTTTTTTTCAAAAAAAAACAGTATAGTAGAAAAGAAAAGCATAAAGCTAACTAACGAAAATAAACACTACGTATAAAATTAAATATGTACAGTATTATACTGTGTATTACTATCGCTATATACTATATATATATAAGATTAATGTTACACGTATTACCTGATTTAATCTGGCGACTATCACCACTGGAAACAATCTTATTTTAAATATAAATATCTCTAAATTTAATTTTTTTTTAAATAATACAACTGTTATTTAAACCTCTGATTTAAAAAAAAAATAATGATATGTATTATAATAAGCATTGATAAAAAAATAAGCCTCTAATCAAATTGTTTAATAAAAGCGTTTAATAAAAAACATCACATTTGTTATCCAAAGCAGGATTGGGGCGTAACACCGTAATCAAAATATTGATTGACGCTGATTGGCCAGAAATTCTTCAATACTTGTAATACTTGTATATATCTAAAATGTCAGAATCGTAAATATTTATTTTTTAAAGTCGATTACTGTAAACATAAATACGTATATATATTTGATATATATATATATATAATGCATAATGACTTTTTTTAAAAAAAAAATCGCCGTTATGTTTATATGACTATGTATCTCAAAAAAAATTTTAGGTTGATTATAATTTTTATGTGTAACAAGGTTTTTTACTGTACGCATAACGGTTAAAATTATTAACCCCAGCTGATCTTTCTATCAACTTTATCGTTTATTGTATCTGAAATATAATGTGATAGTGTTTATTATACGTATAAAAAGTGTTAATAAATAAATAAATTTATTAATTTTGTTTTTGCGTTAAATTATTATTAAAACGCGAGTGAAAGTTCGAGGGTAATACTAAATACAGCTTTGTATAACTTACCATAAAAATGCAAAGTTGGTTTTACAAAAAGGGCTGCGTACATTTCAATCGTTTTTCATATTTCTGTATTTATATATTTATCGTTATATACCATATACTGTATGTTCTCACAAAAGACGGCCTTCGCACAATTTCACTTGTTCAAGTTCTCCAAAAAAAAAACACTAAGATCTACAAATTAGATTCAAAATGTTTGGCATACCTTTAAAGTATGTCAGTTTAATCATTCTTTGCGTCCAGAATAGCACACTAGTAATTGTGATGCGTTATTCACGGATGGTTCCTGAAAGCGAAATATACTCCACTGCCACAGCAGTATTTTTATCAGAGGTGACGAAACTTGTCATCTGTATTTATATGGCCATCCGTTCTCAAGTAATTGAATCCGGGTACTGGAAGGCTTCTGAACTTTATGACCAAGTTTTTACTCCCGATGCTTGGAAACTAATGATACCAGCAGCATTGTATACAGTTCAAAATAATTTACAGTATATTGCTGTTAGTACATTAGATGCAGCTACATTTCAGGTTACCTATCAACTTAAAATTTTAACAACGGCGATTTGTTCGGTGCTCATGTTAAAAACTTCTTTGAGTCCGATTAAATGGTTTTCTTTGGTCTTATTGACCTGTGGTGTTGCATTAGTTCAATTAAAAATTGGAGGAAATGACTCATCAAATCAAGACGTTAAAATTCAAACCAGTCAAAAAGAAACGTTCGATGATAATGGAGCGAAAAAACTTGTGGGATTATGCGCTGTTACTGTAGCATGTATAATTTCAGGTTTAGCTGGAGTGTACTTTGAGAAAGTTCTTAAAGGTTCTCAACCCTCTATATGGATCCGAAACCTCCAACTTTCATTCTTCTCTCTTTTTCCTGCCTTAATTTTGGGAGTATGGTGGAAAGATGGATCTCAAGTATGGGAAAAAGGATTCTTCTATGGATATAACTTTATTGTAATTAGTGCTATTGCATGTCAAGCCATCGGTGGTATTATTGTAGCTCTGGTTGTCAAATACGCTGATAATATTCTTAAAGGTTTCGCTACTTCAATTTCTATCATTCTTTCATTCATCGCTTCTGTCTATCTTTTTAATTTCCCAGTTACTGTTACTTTCTTGATTGGTTCCACTTTGGTATTAATTGCAACATATATGTATAGTAAACCTGATAAACCTGATTCGCAAAAAAAAGAATATCATCCTATTGACCAAGAGGAGGATAATATTGGCCAAGATTATTCTGCGAATGAAAAAGTGGACACTACTAACAATGGATTCGTTAAAGTTAGTGGAAAAGATTGAATTTAATCGAAAAATCATTGATCATTTACTTTAAAACCATTTCATAAATTACAACATATTCCGTCATTTTCAATTTGTCAAAAATTTTCCATTTATATATAGAGTTATTCGTATAAATACTTTATTAGATTGGATTTATAATTGTTTTAATTGTATATTTAGTGAATTTCGAGCATTAGCAGCTTGTCATTTTACTACATACAACAATTTTTATCTAAAGCATTATAATTTCAGTCACCTAAATGATTGAGTGTTTGAGCATTTAAGATTTTTTTATAATAAATTATACGACTAGCGGTCATTGATTAGTAATGATTTTTCTAATAAGTTATATTTAAAATCAATAATCATATAATCTACTTATCAATGATCACAATTTATAATTACGACTGGAATGAACAAGTAAAATAGTATTTTTTATAATCTCATCAATATAAACAAGTTAAATATTACAAAAATATATCTAATTACTTTCATCCATAATAATATTCTGTTTTGAAATTGCCACACTTTCCAAAATATTTAACACCCCTGCATTCTTTATAAGTTCTAATTCCTCCTCACTTCGTGCGAGCAGCATTCCAGCAAATCCTAAAGAATTTACTGATATCTGTTCATCATACTTCTCTTTGCTCCTAGGTACAATCATAAACCATGTGTGAGTCATGACAAAATTGTAGGACAAAGAATTGAGACTTATCGAGGAAGATTGTTTATGTAAACCCTCGATCATGGCATCGAGCAATGAATGAAATACATCATTCAGATATTGACTAGCTTCTTCGTTGTGCCCAAGATGTCCAGTTATTCGCTGTGGATCCAGAAGAGCTATATAATGAACATACGGCAATTCAGGAATTTCAAAAATTTCACCTAGTAGAAAAAAAGATCTAGTTTTATATGACAATTATAGAAATACTTGCACAAATCGATATTTATATTAAAAACACATACCTGGCTTTTTAAATTCTTGAGTCCCATAAATGCAAGAATTAATAGGAGGAGTAAATCGTGCATCTTCTGGTAAAGGAATTAATTGAAGATGCTTATGTGGTTGGCTTTCATAAATAATGGATCATATGATTAAGTATGATTAAATTACATAAGAATTACCACAAGTTATACAATCTACCGCAAGTTATATCGATATAATTTATCATAAGTTTAATAATTGTCAATCATACCTCGCACCTGAAAGCTCACCACAATTAAAAAATGCGAGAGATGGTCGACTTTTAATTTGCATTATGCAATACCATACACATTCCAGATCCTCTGGATTAAGAGGATCCGTTTGTTTTTCAAATTCTGTTTATCGAAATAAGATTTAATAAAAAGATTGGTTATTAATATTTAAACATTTAAAAGGAATAAAAAAAAATTACCCTTTGTGGCAATTACAATATGCTGAGGAACCACACAAAACTTATTTAATAATATATTATATTTTCCATGTTCTTGCACAAGTAACTCTTGACTATAGGGTAAAAAAGGGTTAGCTTTAGGTTTCTGTTGCTGTTCATTTACCCCTAAATTACCGGTGGGTTTTTTGGCTAAACTAGGCGCAACTCGAATTTCAAACTAGAAGTATAATCAAACTTGAGCCCTCAAAAATATAATGCAATTGAGAAAATCCTTGAGAAGATACCTCAATATCTTTTTCTTTTATATGAGCTACTTCACTCTCTATAAAGAGTAGCTCACCACGTTGAAGTGCCCGGTCATATCTTTCGGCAAGACGATCTTCAAAATACGTTCGCATTTTCAAAAATTTCAATTTTTTTTTATCTGACCACAGTACTACCGCTACGTAATATTTTCTTAATATAGATTGGAAGATTTTCTCACCGATGATCTATTTATTACTAACCAATAGCGATAGTTGGTTACCAAATTATAGATCTCACATTTTTTCGAGAGACGAGAAAACGTTAATTCTGGATTTTAAAGACGCTCTTTATAATATCAAAGATCAAACCATTTTATTCTCATATATTATCACAACGTTAATTGAATTGAATATACATATAAAATAATGAAGTTGCCACACTCTAGTAAACTTAATCGTGCCACGGGGCATCGCATGGCCATGTTGAGGAACATGGTATCTTCTTTAGTTGAGCATGATAGAATTAAAACTACTTTAGCCAAAGCCAAAGAAGCACGAAAATTAGCTGACAAGGTGAATAATTTTACGAAAAGTTCATATAAAGTTGAAACCAAACAATATTCCTACATTAGTCAATTAGACACATTTACACTTTTTTCTAAGAACCTACTCAACACAATTTAATATTTTTCTCTTTTTATAGATGGTAACACTGTCAAAGAAGGGTGATGTTCAAGCGAAACTTCAAGCACGAAGTTTTCTTCGGGCATGTATAAAAATTGAATTTTGAACATGATAGATGGAGTAAAAAAAAAAAAAATGTCTAAAAACATCATATGATATGCGCACGATATGCTATACCTAGTTTATAATAAAATGGGTCACAAGTTATCACCATTTTCGAAAAAACTTGGTCACGTGAATGTTGAAAATGGCGATAATAATAATGAGTAACACGAAATCCTGTATATTTCCAGTTTTGTTTACGTTGACTGATCAACATTTTGTTTATAGGAGCATTTTAGGACAATTCCTAAACTCTTTGGAGAGATGGCAGATCGTTATCGTGAAAGAAACGGAGGTTACACTCGAATTCACCGAATAGGCAACCGTGTCTCTGATAATGCACCCATGGCAGTTTTAGAATACGTTGACGCTCCAGGAGATTTAAAATATGAAATGTTAATAAAACAACTTGCAAGAAGAGAACTTGACCCATCTCTAAAAGTTCCTACCACATTTAATGGAGAAGGAATATCACCACTGAGAAAGAAACGTGAATTTAAAAAATGGATGGGTAGACTTAAGGCTCAAAGGAAATTTGAGAAACAAGTGGAAAAAATGGTGAAATGTAAAGAAATGACACCTAGAGATTTGGATAGTGCAATTTTACAAGAAATTCGTAACCTTAAAATTGCTGATGAACGTAAAGAAGATATGAGGATTAAATATAAGTTGAGAATGAAAGGTGGCCATTTGTCTTACGAAAATATGCGTTAAAAAAAAATTATGCTTATATTGACGGAAAATCCTTGGAGTTTAATTCACGGAAAAACATAAGTTACATGAATGTTTTTTTTTTGTTTTTTTTTTTTTTTTGTTAGAAATAAATATAAACAGTAAATATGCATTTGATCCATACCTGAATAAATACTGGAATATTTCTTCTTGCTATCACTTTTAAAACATCATCATAGTTTTTTTATAATTCTTATAAAATAGTTGTTCAAAAAAACCTAACTTGAAAGGGTGTAATTTTTGTGATTATCTAATTTTGATAGTATGTTACCATCAACTTTTCCTAATTCTGCAGGGGTAAAAAAATAGTGCAGATTTTTTTTTGTGTAAATGCATTCTATAAAATGTGACCTCCCCAATGGCCAACCATATTAGGATGGGTATTGACGTCAAAGCAACTACACGATTGTTTTCTTTGTATAGATCAAAAAAGTTAGTACAAGTTTGGTTAGTTAGTAATTAACTCAATTTTGGATACTATTATTATTATGAACTTTTGATCCTTCACATAAAAGGTTGGATTTATTATTAATGTCTAAGAAGCGTGATGTTAACAGTTTTCATAACTGCATAAAGAGATAGTCATTTATTATTAGTAAACTGTCAAAATACTGTCAATTATTATAAAAAATAAATTTTTTTTACGCGTATAAAAGTGAAATGAACAATTTTTAATTATAATAAATTAATAAAAAAATTATAATATTATAGATACTAAACAAATCGGTATTAAAATGCTTCATATTTATTATGGTAATGAATGGTTCAGGTTGTTGTTCCCCACATTCAGGAGAATAATTTTAGTCGTCCCGAGCATCGATTTTTTCCGCAAGCGTGTTAATGTACCATAAAATGAATAAATGCTATGTAATAAAATTAAACAAAACATTCTCCGTCTTTTGGTTTCGAATAAAGGTCGGGTATTTGATCATGGCTGGCTCCAGCTATTATAGGAAATTGAACTTGACCGATTTCGGTGAACGCACTTTCGATTTGGCCTTTTATTTGTTTGTAACAAATGATTATTGGATAGTATTATGCAGCATTCTGGTGACTACACTTTTATATTATAATAAATAATGTGTCAAATGCTAATTTATCTTGATCTTGACGTATCGTATATCGTATATATCATGTTATTTAATAATAGACAAACTGAGAGACTAACTTGTTCGAGACAAAAAGATCTCGCCATACATATTACGAACTTCCGAACACCGATTATTATATGAGGGGGTTTTTTACGCCCCGCTAAACTCCCACCAACCACGGACAAGAAAAAAAAAAAAAAAAAAATTAGATAACCATAATAAAAATACCTCAAGTAGAATTCCTATAAATTTCTTTCTCATAAAATTTTCTTGTTAACTTTACATAATAAAATTGGAGTAATTACCGGTCTTTGTCTTTTTTTCCCTATTCTTTCCTTAATTTTTTCCTTTTCTTTCCTTTTTTTTTCGTTTTGCCTTATTTTATTCTTTTACTTTATTATTATTCCTGGTGATAACTTTGATAATTTCTAAATGTCTACGGACCACGACGCGATAGCTAGTTTATGTGCACTTCGTTTTTTTGGAACAAATAGTCAGGTTCCCACTTTTAACGTGGTAACTCATTAAATTTCTCATTTCTTTTTTTATCATTTATGGCACGAATTTTTCATTATTTTATTTCCTAACTTTTTTCATAAACATATCAAAATTTTATTCTTTAATAATCCAGATGGATAACTTTTATGCACAACTTACTCCTATGAAATTTCCTTCTGCCAAAGAAGCTGCTTCATTTTGTAGGCAGTTGGCACGAGAGTATGGCTTTACAGTAAAGCAAGAAACTAGCTCCAATAAGGTTGGTTTATTTCTTTTAATATTCATTTATTAATAGAATTAATCCTCGCTTTTGGTCTGCTGCGTATGCGTGCATGGTATAACTGTATACTGTAGATGTTGATAAATTCATATGTACAAAGTACTTTATAATGATAGTGATTACTTTAGCACTGTGTCTTGGCTTATTTCATACTTTTGAAATGTCATGCACAGACCACCTAAATCAAATCTCTTGATTGGCAATCAGCACCTTCTCACGTTACACGAAGGAGTTTTGCCTACTTTTATACTATTTAATTTAATTTATTTTATTTTCATATTATTTTTTATTTTATTTTTTATTTTATTTTATTTTATTTTATTTTATTTTATTTTTTTTTAGAATGTATATGTGTATTGTTCTCGAGAAGGTATTTCTGAAAGTGTGAAAATTGGTAGAGAGACAAAAAGAAAACGGGCATCCCTTCGTTGTGACTGTAAATGGAGAGTGGTCTTATTTAGAAATGAACAAGGTAATCATTGGGAATTTCGAAAGTCGGTAAACCCACAGCATTCGGAACATAATCACGACCTGATTCCTCCAGAACATATTCCTGAGCCATGGCCTCCAAATGTTCTGCAACGAATTGCTGATCTTGCAAATTCTGGATTATCAACTGGTGATATAAGAAATACAATGCAAATGGAATTTCCGAATTTGTTATGGGATGAGAGGAGGTTTTATAATCGTCTGGCTGAAGAAAGGTATATATATATATATATATATATATTTTCATATAAATATAATCATAATTTCCTCACATTCTATAATTCTATTAATATTAACAATCATTGTAATTAGGAAAAAATTGAAAATAAGAGACACTGAACAACGCGTTATTGATACAATAGTTCTGGCGGCCCGTATTGCCTCTTTAGCTTGTTCCAATAAAGAATATACTGATAAAGTTCATAATGTTCTTCATAAGACATTTGAAGATATCTGCAGATGTGCTAAAATTGATCCTTCATCTATCTTTAACGATAATTTATCAACGTATGGTGATATGACTGTAATAACGCCATCTACGTCATCAAGTGCAGATATCATATGTACTTACCCCGCAGGCATAATAACCGTTAAAAATATTCCTGGGCAAAAAGGAAGACCTTCAAAAAAGAATTTACACCAATTACAATCTAACCAACTGATTCCACCACAATCTCAATGTCAACTCGATCAAATAAATACTATAACACCTCAAAATATTTTGACTCCACCAAATGAACATTCTCCACAATTAACACAACAACAAATTGATTTGGCTTTACATTCACAAAATGAGTCATTGTCTCAATCACATAATCAAAATGCTCCGTTATCATCTCAATTGCAACAACATAGTGGTTTACAACAACTTCAAAATGATTTGGCCTTTCCTCGATTACAAAATACTAAAGATTTAATACTATCGCAATTAAATGCTCAAAATGTATTAATCTCTCCACATATACAAAATTCTTCACCGTTAACACCTCAAACTCAATCGAGAATTCAAATTCTTTCACAATCGTATTTTCATTCTCAACATCAAGAAGCCGTTACGCAAGGGCAAAATCCGAATTCATCGCAAACACTTTCTTCATCTCAATCACAATCTCAGCTTATTCCGCAATATTTTCAATATTCGAGGTCACGACCTTCGCCACAGGATATATCAAATGGTTCACCACAACAATTGCATTTACAATCACAGCAGAGCTATTCAAATCAACAAGTTCCACAGGTGGACCAATCGCAAACTTTATCTTATACACAACAACTTCAACAGCCTATTCCTCAAATGCAATTACCACAATCATTACGTATGCAATCAAAGATGTCTACTACTACTTTTCAATTTATGAATGAGGATATAACACATCAAAAGCAAATATTGTCGCCTCAAAAAAATACAGCTGAGATTGATAATACACCAAGAATTGAGAATACAAACACTTATGATAATGTAACTGGTTTTACAAATCTTAATTCTAAGATTGAGACACCCGCACATTATAATTCGACAACAGT